CAGAAAATCTTTTGACATCTGTTGAGGTAAAGTTTTATACATTTATGTTCATAATGTAAAAAAAAAAAAAATGGGGTTAAATATTTATTTATATGCATAGATTCCCAACATTGGTTTTGCACAACATCGATGTCTTAATAGACCTCTGTCGAAAAGATTATATGAAATATTTATGGGAACCAATCCGGATTATATAATTTCTTAGATATTTGTTATTGGATTATACGAGTAATGATTTTTTGAAATTATTTTATCTTCCCAAAGTCATTATTCTCAAGGACTTGGAAAAGTTTTATAACGAAAATTTGATAGAAAAATAAATTATCCATTATTTAATGATCACAACTTCCTTTTTCCTTTTATTGATTTAAATTAAATCAGGAAAAGCGTTTTTATTTCCTAAACTATTATATATACATATATATTTATATATTTATATATATAATATATATAAATAAATAAAAAATATATACCTTTATATCTTTGTTAAATTAAAGAATTAGTTAAATATTTAATTATACAGTAACGTCGATCAATGATTTTACGTAATTGAGAAATTTTTTTTTTTTTATACAATCTATTATATTGTAAAGTAGTACTTTAAAAAAATATATTGTTAGGTTTCGTAATTGGCTACTTATTAGAGACCAAATTAGTCGACTCGTGCAACGACTTGAAAATTCATCTATATGACCCTCTTTTTATTTTTTTTTTTTTTTGTAATTTTTGTCGTTTTTTTTTCACATTTCCTTTTATTTAATATTTGTTTTTTCTATTTTACTTTTTGAAATAAAAAAAAATGGATCCAAATCAATATACTTTACAACACATTTCTCGAGAGGTTAAAAAACTCCGTCTAAATTATATTTCTAATAACTACGAACTGTTAAAGAATCGTTATAATAATTTTTCTAAAGAGTTTGAAGATTTAAATGTTTTCCACCAAAGTTCCAGTGAACTTAAGGAAATAGAACGAATTTCTAATTTCATTAAACAACATCAAGAACTTGTGGTTTCCAGCTTTGAAACCGTACACGCGCAACAAAGCGTCGCATACTTAAAGCAAATTGACGCATTATTAGAAAAGTTGCAACTTTTAGTATCGTCTCATTCCGTTGCCGATCAGACGAATCAACAAGGATCGAACTCTCAACGACCAAATTCACATTTCGATATTATTTCTGGAGACCCGGATCTTTTCTCTTCTGCGCAATCACCTGCTAATCCTGCACAACCTATCAATTCGAATTTGGATCAATTTAACTCTGGAATACCACCTGAGTGTGATTTTGGTCATTTTAATATGCATAATTAACCTCTCAAACTGCAAGATTAATATATTTATTAGTCATCAACAGTCATACTTTCAATTCCCTCCTTTACTTTTGGTCAACATGCATGTATGCTATCCGTTAGAAATAGCATACATAGTTCAGATATATCATGTTTACTTGAATTCGATCTTTAGTTGATAGTCCATTACTTTAATTCACCCGTCATATTTAATCCAACATGCATATATGCTATCGTAAAATAGCAAACATGTTACAGATGTCTGAAAAATTCCAATTTCGTGGTTACAAGTATAGACTTCGCAGTATCACGTTTTGATGATGACCTCGATTTTGATATAGTAAAGTTTGAATCATGTGACGACATTCACAAAAAAAAATTCGCGCAAATAAAAAAAATTTTTTCTATTTCCTAAAAAAGAATAAAATAAACATGCAACAAAACAGACAATTAAAGTACGGTCTAAATTTAACCACAAAGAAACCTTTATCACAAAAGCAACCCGAAAGATCGTTAAAACGATCAATATTTAGTGAAGACGACGACGTTGACAATCTTACCGAACAGCCATGGAATCA